CCAGCAAGATTAGGTCAGTACCTGGGTGCTTAACTACTCAGGTTTATTACCCAGCCTATGTTTTTCTTTTGCTGTTAGAATAACGTAGCGACGGGTAGGCAGAACAACTTAAATAAGCTAAGCTTCTTTTGGAAGCTTTTTATGGAAGCTTCTTTTAGAAGATTCTTATTCAAGCTTGATCCGCTTGTCCGTCGTTACGTTCCTCTAACTAAAAAATATAAATAGGCTATTGCGTAGCTTCGCAATGGTCTTCGCCGCAGAACGCTCCCTACGATAGAAACCACCAGCAATGTCAACAAGACCAAAATTGTTTAATTTCAACACGGACAACTCTTTCACTTTTACAATAGCTTGACAACCAGATAGCATCAGACGATAGGAATAAGACATAAATCCTGAACGAAATCAGGATGGCTAGGGTTGGCCATGGTATTTTACGAAGTATGTTAAACTAGATAAATCAACGCACCAAAATCCGAATTTTTAATTCCACTATTAAATCAACCATTTCCTGCGGAATACAATTCGTACATGGTGGATTTCAAATTCTGAGCACCATTCGGAGCCTCTAACAATAGAAATCCGAGTGGTTGGAGTCGGAATGAAGAGTGTTGGAAACGAAATCTGCAAACCAGCGCTGAACTGGAACTTGGCAGGACATTTCTGCAGAGACAGACTCAGGAGCTCGTGGCGGCGATGTCACAACAAAGAAACAAAGCAAGTCGATAGAAATTTCCCCTGACTCAGGTCAGTACGAGGGCAAAAATCGCCCAGGATGGTTATCTTTCACATTGGCTCAATGTCCCTTTCCATTAGTGGGCTCCCTGAACTTTGAAGATGATTTCGGAAGACTTCAAAGCATCTACCAATTTAAAAAAAAAATCCCGTTTCTTAATATTGTATGTACAGGGTGATTCAAAGTAACTGTCACCGATTTCACAAATATGCAATTATCAATGGGTAAAATGGGTATATGTTCAAGTATTTTTGCTTTAAAGTGCGTACAAATATCAGCTTGTATTGATAGTAGGATTTGAAATTTCATTCGTTTGCGATTTCAAGCAGCCATGGACGTAAAAGTACATGGCTGAATAAGTCAAAAGACAAAATTGTAAAGAATGAGGGATTGAATAAACATAGTAGAAACATGATCAACAAAATACTGTCTGTATTAACATGAAGATTCTGGGGCTTTTTCATTTGTGTAGAATCTTAAACTAGAACTTTTCTTCTTGTAAGTACTACATCAACATTTCCTTCCCTATCCCTAGTTATGGTAAAGATGGGCGTGGCCGGGAATAGCAACAGTCATGCTTCTGTTACACTTGTTTAGATTGGAACCAATGTTTACTCCCCAGCATTATTCCTGAAAGTAGTCTAACTGAGAATTTCAGAAGAGACGTGAGTGTCGCTAGTATCCAATCTACGAAGTATATCATAACAACGCTAACGCTAATCTTAAACTAGAACTTTTCTTCAAAATTTGTGACTTATACCAATCTTTGTGATCCTAGATTTAGAGTAAAAATATTTAAAAAGTTTGAATGGTTTGAAAGATTTTCAAGATCACAGATTTGACAATAAAAATCATAAAAATGGGTCCTAGAGTCATAACAGTCCAGACTCTAAAACTTGGAAGAATGTTATGGAGTTTAATAAATTACAGATCATTTTATAGAATCCTGAGGACAAACACTGGAATTTAAAAAAAAATTTAAAAGTAATCGAGGTTTTGATTTTATAGAAATACTGAGGAAAATTGTTACATTATTTTGGAATTAAAAGTTCTTAGCAGATTTCCAAAATTATTCTGAAAAGAAGCCCTAAGAAATTGATAGATGTATTTGGAGGGATTTATGTGGAGAAGAAAGGAAGTTCTACTTTATATTTTTCGGTCATTTTAGAAGATTTTAAAAGGAGATGGGTAGAAAACTTCAAGGGAAAATTCTAGGAGATCCTGAGAATTGTATGGAGGACGTGAGAAAAATGGCAGATGAATTTTAAGGAGAATTCCACGAGATTTATAATGAGAATTCAACGACATAACTCCAATAGCATTGATTTAAAATGAATAGCTTTGAATTCGAAAAAAAAATCTTACAGGATTTCTGAAGACAATTTCGAAAAATGTCTGCTAAGAGTTCGTAAGTTAAAAGAAAATTATGAGAAGAATTGTCAGAATAGGTGTTTTAATAATAATTCCAATAAAATTCTTAAAAAGGAGTTTCAAGGAAATTCCAAAGATAATTAAAAGATATTTACCAGGAGAGTTTTCTTGTTATTTAAAAATAGTCCATTATAATCAGAGCAGCATTCCATTTAAAATATAGAATTCATATCATGAGCATTGTGAATAGAAATGCATGTTCATTTTGATTTAGAATAAAAATGAAAGCTCCAAAAATGATAAGTGCAAATATAGTTTTCTAAGTCCAATATCTTCAATATTCTCTTTTAAGGTCCATGCACTTTACTTCTGAAATTAGAATAGGACAAAAAATCAATTTGAAATATTACTGAATGATTAAATCCTAAAAAAAAACTGATGAAAATTATGCAGCAAATTCTGTAATTCTGGTAAAATTCATTTATTTTCCCGGTTCTGTTGACGAATTCCCAGGTTTCCCAGCTTTGAAATTCGCGGTTATTTCCCGGTTCGCTGGCCACCCTGGGTCACTGGCTCTGAAGGATATCTGGGTTCCAGCCGGGGTTAATCGGTTTTCCGATAAATTATAAAGGTTGAACATAATTAATAATTATCTTCAGCAATGTTTCTTACTAAATATAAATAACTGAAAAGAGACTCTGAAAAAAATCTCAAGGAAATTGTGAAGAGCATCCAAAATTGTTTAATAATTGTCGTTTGTGGCAGATTGAACCCATGATTGAATCTTTGATTGATTCCATAGAGTGAATCAAGCATGCTGAGATTGGTAAAATGTACAGCTTTGAACAAATCGAGATAGAGCTGGAATTAGGGCGTAACAGCTTTTGTAAACAATGACTTTTCTCGAAGAGTTCTAGAAAGTCAACATCCCCTAAACGATGGTTATGTTCGTTTGCGTGGACTTACCTTTAATTCCTTGAAATCATCGAGAGAAGTCATTGATTACAAAAGCTGTTACGCCCTCATTCCAGCTCTATCTAGAGATCATGATTTACAAAATCGATTCAAGGCTTGTTTTTTTAATCTTAGAGCAAAGGGATGTTCTTTGAAGAATGATTTTAAGATGAATGCCAAGGTGATTCTAAGGAAAATTTCAAAGAGGTTTTGAAGAGAATCTCCAGAAAACTAAAATGCATCCTGATGGAAATCTGATTCTGAGGAGAATTTAAAGGTGATTCAAGGGTGAATCCAAAGTCGATTGTGAGGAAAATTCCATGATGTTTCTAAGAAGAATCTCAAGCGAGAGGATTATGAAGAAAATTTTAAGTGCATTCCAAAGAGATTCTTAAGAGGATAACTGAGGAACATCTCAAGGCGGTTCTGAAAAAAACTCAAGAGACTTCTTTGAAGGATTGCAAGAGGATTCTGAGGAAAATATTAAGACGATTCTCAGGAGAATCTCAAGAGAATTTCTGAAGAGAATTGCAAGGGGATTCAGGAAAGAATTCCTAAGGGATTCCGAAGACAACCTAAAGGGGATTTTGAAGACAATCCCCAGAGGAATGCTTCTTTTGAAGAGAGTCCTAGGAGACCTGTAAGAATCCCAATCCCACGAAGATGAGCATCCCAAGGAAATTGTGAAGAGTATCCCAAAGGAATTCTTACGATAATCCCAAGGGGATTCCGAAGACAATTTCAAGGGGATACCCATGAGCACTCCGAAGACAGTCCCAAGGGGAATGTTTCGTCTAAAGAGAACCCCAGGAGGATTGTGAAGAGAATCCCAAAAAGATTCTGATGAAGAGAATCCACAGGGTATCACGAAGAGATTCCCAAAGGGAATTTGGAGGCAATTCCAAGGAGAATTTGGCGTAACGGCCAAAACGCCTCTGAAGAGATTCACTGACCTTTACTGTCTATAATCCCATATCAGTCCCATATGGAAAAAGTAGGCATTGAGAAAATGTTAGTTGAAGCTACGAAGTGCAATTCCCATGTAAATATTTGAAAAATCATAGTAAATTTACTCATATTTTTTTCAAGTTGAAATCATTTTCAATTGAGCTTGCATATTTTGTTATATCAGCGAAAAATATGGCTTTCCAAAAATCAGAACTAGAACTTGACCTCTGGATTATCGAATTTCAAGATGGGACTAATATGCGATTACTTTACTTAATGGGACAAACTGTCACATTTTTCATGATCAAAGTCCGTAGTTTTATCACGTGATATGAAAGTAGATGCCAATTGATAATGGATAACGTTATCTTAAAAATGACGAAAATCCGTATGGGACTGGTATACGGTATTATTAGCAGTTTAGTAGCTATTCGCCTCTTACTGACTTACGCCTGTTACAATTCTTATGTTGCATTATGTCGATTTAATATCACATCCAACGTCGTTAACATAGTTGATGTAGGGTGAAAGTCGGCTTTGGCACTTCTTTACGTATTATCGTCAGGGGGTAGTCATGGAGTGTTCATTTTTGCACAACGCTGCTGTGGAATATGATGCACCTTCATGCAAAAATCAGCGCTCAAGGACTTCATTTACCCCCTGACGATAATAGGCAAATAAGTGCCGAACCCGTCATTTCCCCTATATTCGGTACACTATTTGAAACAAAAATGCTATCTTGCAAACAATTTTAGAAAACGATTTTCAATTACTTGCTGTGCCATTAACCAAGAAATTACAATTACACTTTTCAACTCCGTAGATCGATCTGCTTTGCCATACATTTCCAAATCAAAACAATCCAACGTTGTTCGCTGTCGGTGCTGAACAGATGAAACCACCAACAAAGTTCCTCACAGCCCCGAACACGGCAAACCGAAAGAGAAGGGAATGGGTGACCTAAATCTGCGCAAAAAAAAAACCGACATACCTGCTTCGATCGTTGAATCTCCATCTCGCGTTGCTACTGTCGATTGCTGCTGCTATTGGTGCCGTTTTAGCCGACGGAGCAACATTAGTAGTATACCAGCACCAGGGCAGCGCTCATCAATCACGGAATCAGAATCCGTGCCGAAGGATTACATAATTTCACCAGCAACGCACGCGTCTGTTCTAGCTTTCGCTGTGCTGAGGGGTGTTTTATGCTCGTCGCCACTCGACAATGTAGCTAGTAGCACTCGAAAATTTCCTCCCGAGTTACCCAATGGGGGGGACCCTGCTAGCTAGCAATCCAATCTCGACACAATGTTGTATGCACGCGCTCTATAACACACGACGACAACAAGCTCGGCACAACAACAGAAATCAACTTTCTTCTTGAGGTTAATTCACATCTGCATATATATTAGTATAGGTAACGCGAGTAGTACTATCATTTTCTCTTGCCTTTCTGCCGCGTTTCGCTGTTTCATTCACTGTAGCTACTCTTCACTCACAATCATCATAGGTGTCGTGAGTGTCACATTCACACACAAACTTGCCAGCCAAACTGGCCATCCATTTCGAACACTGGGGGACACCTTTGTGTCCCAGGTACCGACCGAGCCAGCCAACCAGCAGATCAACAACACACTGATTCCTTCGGTGGATCCCTGCGCCGCTGCCTAGCCTCGAGGGAAATTCAACATCCTTTCACACCTTCAACAATTCATCATCCGTCTTCTACTATGTGTTCTGCTTCCTGCTGTTCCTTCGCAGCCTTGTGGCTTTCGGGTATAATAATTCTTCTTCTTTATTATTTTTTTACGCTCACCGACCGACGCTAAACGACGCTAATTTCACTTTGGTCTCGAGGTTTTTGACTATGTTGACACGACGTCGACGACGGTGGGACCATTTTCTCTTTCGCCGTGAGAGTTAGGAAAACCCGCCGTTCCAAGTTTTCCGAGAATTTTTTAGCACCTTTTATGTGTTAATCCATCACTTTTATGCTCTTTCTCTCTTCTATGCTGCTGTTCACTCACAACACTGACTCACTCTCGTGCCTATGCACTGTGCACTCTGTCGCTGGCCTGTGTAGAAGGCAGCAAAAAACGAATCCCAAACGGGTCCCGCTGCCTTAGTTGTGGTAGTGGTTTCAGTTCTCGGTCCCGTGTCGACGGTCTTTTCGAGGCCCCACCACTCACTCACAGCTCGCGCAGAATGGCAGCCAAAGGGCAAACCCGACACTCGCTCGAGCCGACAACACGGCACACGGCAGCTTTGCTGGATGACGACCGACGGTGTGGCCGCGCGCTCTTCGATGGCACCAACCAACCTAACGGGAATCTCACTCACTTTTTTTTTGCTTGCTTTCTTGCTTTTGTGCTGGCTTTTCTCTATATCCTATTGCACAGTGGGGTCCAGCACCACCAGAGTGACTGGTGCGAGGCGGCCAAAGATCTGGAAGAAATCGGGAAGAAGGGAAAAAAAAGTACAACTTTTAGTATATGTATTATTGCGGTGTGTGCGTTTCAGAGCTTGCGGAATCTTGCACTGCAGGTATGTGATGATGCTGTATTATAAGGTAGGTAGGTAGGAGCGTATAGGATTCAGGTTTGTGATTCGCGACCAGTCTCCGGACCTCGGAGATCTGCATGTGCTGCGGCTGCTTTTGGGTTCGAATGGGGGCCACATTCCTGTTTTGTTCGACTCTGTTGATGGGGAGACGACGGGTATTATACGAATGTGCAATGGGTTCAATTACAGTACCCCGACTACTCGGTAGGTTGGTTGGTTGATCGGTTGGATCGGAAGAGGTGACCTCAAATTTCAATGTTGTGTTTCATTTGCTGTTGTTCGATTCGGCAGTGAGATCATTTCATCGGTCTTTTATTAGCGTGATGAAGTTGATGCTCATTTCAGATTCAGAGGAATTACTACACAGAAGCAGTGATATTATTTCGAAAATGACGAACTCATGCCACAATCAGACTTTAGAAGCGATGTGCTTGGAGAGCTTAAAACGAATCATGAGAACCACCGGAATGATTCATAACCTTGGAATGCAGACTCGATCCTAATAATTAATTAAATTTCAAAATAACGATGACCAACGTTCGACTGTGTTAGTTATGCTTTGAAGGGACCATTCCCGGTGAATCACAAAGAAAGGCAACTTAGTTAAGCCACATTCAGTGAGAGCCAACCCTTGCTAAGCAGCTGCTTTTTTCGGAAAATTATTACATTACTGTTGTACTGGCATTAACTATTCTCATTTAAGTGCAATCCGCACTCTTTACAAAACACGGTTTTCTTCTAAGAAGTTCTAATAATACCATGGAAAAATCTGCCTTCTAAGTAATGACTCATTTAACCGTGTGAGCATAATTCATAATTTAAATGCATATACAGAGCTGGTAGCGATCACTGCTGTCAGAAATAGTGATTTTAGTGACCATGTTGAATAAATAGTGACTAATAGTTGAAAAATAGTGACTAAAAAGTGACCTAAGAGAAGGAGCATCAAACAAATGTTTGATGTTTTAGACTTATTCAATTATTATCTCATAAACGCTTAGGTACGATATGAACCTTTAAAGTAAAAGATTCAATAGAAAGTTTATCACCAAACTCATGGTATTAGTCACGGTGTATACTAACTGCAAAAATCTGGAAAACCGGGAATCGTCAGGAATTTTTTTGTTTCCTTAAAATATCTGGAAGTCGCAAAAAACTAAAAAAAAATCTTGCTTAGGGTTATTTAAAGAAATAATGAATTTTAAAATACAACCATTCATTTTTCTCGTTATTTTAATTCACACTTTGAACTTTGAAGATTCACAGTGGATTAATCTTCAGTTACAAATAAATTTAATGAAATAAATATTTTTTTTTTTTTTGGTTTTGGAACATGCAGATTTTTTTTAAAAAAAATTGAACTAGTTCTGGACTTAAAAGCTATCATACTTAAAGGAATTTTCAAGAATCAGGAGTAAAATTCCATGCACAGTTTTAAAGACTCAAGGAATTTTATTATAATTTCTAAGGACCTCATTCCAAGGGAGGTCTGGGAAAAAAATCATTCAGTAATACATCAAATGCAATCTGCTTTTGAGGTAGTTCTGAGGAATTTTAGATTTCATGTGAAGCCTTAGTTTTAAGTAGAATTACAAGAAACCCTGAATTGAGTTAAAAGTAAATTTTAATGAAAAATCTTAGGAATTTCTGAGGAGCACAACTCTTGTGACCTTCACCGGAAAATTCCAAGGGCATTCTGAGGATAATTTCATAAAGTTTGAGGGAAAAAATGAATCCGGAGCACAAGTCTTTGGACATTTTTTGAAAATACTAAAAGCAGGATTAAAATTAAATGTGAGAATAACTCCAGAAGATCTTCAAAGGAATTCGGAAAATAAATTCAGGAGAGTTTGCCAAACAAATTATGCGAAGAAATCTAAGGAATTTCTGAGGAGAAATGTCCATGAATTGTTAGGAGACTTTCAATGTGAGTAGAGTTCTAAGGGAAGGAGTGAGACTGAAAACGAAATCTGAAATGAATTCAATTAGTACTCGGAGAATCTTTCCAAAGGATTTCTAATTGTGGAGAATTTTTTTATATGGGGTATTAAGCTGGAGCTGCGTGACAGCTTAGTTTTCAAGACTTGATCCATTTGAATAAATTTTGCTTCTATCTTTGACAATACAGCAGAAGGACTAGCCTATGTTGGCCGCTTGAACACTGGATTCCGTGTGTATTGTTTCAAGATAGTTATGGAATAAATGCTGTGACGTGTGCGCGTAGATACATCCGCGTAGTAAACCGATTGAATAAGTAAATCCGTGTCGAACGAAATATCTAAATTATGTAAGTTCCGAAAACCGCGCGAATTCCGAAGCGAGAAAAAAAAGGCTTATTATCATGTAAAGAATGCCACCAAAATAAATGTGATAGCCTATGTTGGCAAGTTGATTAATTTTGGTTTCCTCCCTGGATATTCTACTTATTTACTACTGAGCTGTTGTACTGTTGTATCAAATTAGTTAATTTAAAGAACGTATCAATCATTCCAAGATTTCGCGACCGTACCGAACAAATTATATACTACATAAGCTCAAAAGCGTTTGGCAAGCTCTACCGAATTGCGTATCACTTCTGCGTAAGCTCCGCAGACGTAGGCGCGCTGAATACGACAGTCGCGAAAAGTTAAACATGCATCGATGCGTCAATACCACATAAGAAAAGAACGATTTTACAGACATGTAGGGTTTAGTTCATAGATTAACATTGACTGCTGTTTACAAATGTAAGTTTTGAACACTAAGAAATAAGTTAACTCAAATGCTTTAACCGCATAAGGCCTGTACTCGAAAAAAAATACACCAGACAAAAGTGTTCGCCAAAAATTTATTTGAAGTCGGATTTTCTTGAAACTTTCAGGGAATGAACTAATACATATGGTTTATGTTTCTGCATAATTACTTTATTCAATTTCCTTTCCATCGCTGAAAGCCCGCACCTTTCCCTTAAGACCCCTCATTACATTTTGTGCAATGGTGGAGCCGACATTTTTGGTCACTTTCATCCATTCTTTCTTCAACTCCAGCTCGTTCTTAAACACCTTGGATGATTTTCGAACTTTGACCTTCATTATGGCCCAAAATCTTTCCACCGAACCAATCTCTGGTTAATTTGAGGGGTTGGCGGTTTTTGGTACAAAAACAACGTTATTGTCTCTGTACCATAATGTCTCGCCTCCGTGGGACCGCAGGAAGGGCAACAGACGCTTCTGGAGGCACTCGGTGCGGTAAATTTCGCTGTTGATGGTACCCATTGCGATGTACGGAACATCAAACCGTGATTTGGCAACGTAGAACTCCAGCCCCGGTATCTGCTTTCCGTCTGCCTTGATGTAGGTTTCGTCATCCATAACCACGCACATCGGTTTCGTTAACCACTCTTGATACAGCTTCCTTGCGCGGGATTTGGCCGCCGTGTTTTGTTGATCACGCCGGTTCGGTGCCTTCCGGACCTTGAATACACGAAGCCCAGCTCGCTTCATGGTTTGCTGAACGAACCAGGCGGAACACTTTGCCTTCAGAGCCGCATGGCGAATCGAAAGGTTCAGATTACGCTTGAAATAATCCAACACCTTCCGGGCCTTCACAGGGTCAGCTGTCTTCGATTTTCTTCTACTTCCAGCCCGCCGCTCGGTCGTCTGGGACTCCTTAAACGATTTTACCACTCGAAACACAGTTGTATGGGTGATTCCTAGTTGTCTTCCGATCCATCTCATGGTCGCAGTCGGATTCTCCATGGCGGCGCGCAAAATTCTCCGGCGATTTTCTTCTTGTTTCGATGACATCTCAATAACTGAACCGATTGTTATGAAATTTTGTACATGTAAACAATTCACTCCAAACTAGTTATACCCAGATTTTCGTCAATTTTCGAGTACAAGCCTTATATCAGAGATTTCGCGTATTGAGAGAATAGTAATCGAGTACAATAAACTCAGGGGAAAACAAGAAGAGATTAAAAGTTACCAATTGTCACATACCTCTACTTTTACTTATTTCCTAAACTATTTCTCTCCTTGTTAATTTGCTAAATACTATTAGTTTGCTTGCGTTTTCTTATTGAGTACAATACCATGTACAAAAATGGTGTTTAACATTGTTCCCTGAGTAATACCTCAATGAAAACAACAACGAAAGCTGGTCACGCAAATAAAAGAAGCACTGTTGGGCACTTTCTGAAATATTTCAATAGTAAAATTCCCGTGCAAACCCAAATAAACCTATCTGCGTAAAAAAATAAGTATCGCACCCAACGTCAGTGCCTATACGTAAGCGTACTACGACGCGGCTCACAAACAAAGGAGTAACAAGTGTGATACTATCACTGCTAGACTAGATATTTGGTTCTCTCATGCAGTGGTTCATCAGAGAGGGGAAGCCACTAAAATCGGTTTTCTTTGAATATCTTTTCATGCGTTAATTTCTCGTAAAAACATTGTTCTGATTACATTTAGAACTTTTGATGACGCATATTTTTGCTCAAGCAACTAGGTTACTATCTTTTTTGATTAAAAAGTTAAAGGCTATTTTCTTCGAAAAAATTGCTCTTATCAATAAAATAAATTGTCAATATCTCAATATGGAGCAAACCGATTTTTAAACATTTAATTACATTGGAAACATCGTTTTTTCTTCATTTTTGGTAAAAAGAACTGCAAGAGCTTTTTCTGTTTAAAGCATTTAGTTTAATTAAAAAAAAAAGTAATGTTTTTCAGCAAAAACTAACCATAACTTTTCGAATAAAAGAGATAACAACTATGCAAAAATATGCGTCATAAAATGTTTTTAAAGTGTCTAGTATAAACATTTCACGGGAAATGAACGTATAAAAAGATATTTAAAGAATGCCGATTGTCTAGGGGCCACCCTAACCCGCTTGTTTA